GGTTCATGGTCAAATTTAGTGCAAGCGGTGAAGTCGACCAAAACATTTCTTGTTGAAGTTTATTCTTCCTTTTTTCTCCACTTTTATCTGGGATATCGGTATCATTTCATCCTAAATTTTTTTGTTAGGCAGGTAAAGGTTTTTTCGTGGGCGGGCCTGTTTTTTTTACACAGGTCAACACTGGAATACGTTTGAGTTGCAGATCGTTGTTTAAACCAGCTCTTCCAATAACGAGTGATGTTGCTGTCTTCTTTGAAATGGAGTTTCTGTACATATTGTTCTAGATGTGCAATAACTCTGGCATAATCAAGTTATAATAAGCTTGGAAAATACATTTTTAAAAATGGTTGTGCTGAAATCAGCCTATGTTCTAATAGTCAAGCTTCTGAATAATTCTTCTATCATTCTTTTGTCGAATGAGCGTGTTCAGAGCTAAGTTTTTTGTTGGACTGGGTTCCTAGTGTACAAATCCTACATTTAACTTGATGCTCCTGAGGCTTACGGGGAAAGCAATTAGAGGTTATTTTTTCAAAGTATCTTTGGTGCCGTAAAGTTTCACCTTACTTCACCAAAAAGTTTGTTTAATTGCGGCTCATCAATTTGAAATACTTTTTCGTAAATGAGTTATTACAGATTGGACTATTATTGCGTGATTTATTGTATCTGAAATGCTTGTTTTGTTTAGGAGAGTGGTCGTCGGAAGAAGTCTCATCCAACAAAGCGTCCTGTTTCTCCTGACGAGTAAGCTCTCTAGGGTTAGCTTAATACTTGTCATCTAGGAAACGTTACTGTAATAAAAATATTCACTTCATTTTTATGAAACATTTTCTGTTTAGTAAATTAAATATACTCGGTATTTCTTGCCCATAAGTCTTCAATTTCTTTTGCAAAGTGTTTTGTGCATTTTTTTCGCATTTAATAAGTTCTTCCTTTAACCTACATTCTGTCCTTCTTTGGTGAGCTAAAAATCGCCATTGCATAGTGTTAGTTTTCTGCATTCTACAAAATATTTTTGCCATTGTTTTCTCGTTATCTCTTTTCTGTTTTTGTTCGAATTTATACGACTTTTCCCTCTTACATTCGAGTCTACTTACTCTCCGAGATTTTAAGCAGATGATATCTTGATTACAAATATTGCTTAGATGTTTATATTTTTACGGCAGCTGGTTCTAACTCTTGATCCGTGACTTAGTCTAGCTTCATTCTTGAAGGATGTGAATAATACTTTTTGCTTTGGTTATTAATTTCGCCGAGTCTAATAGGATTATTTGTTGTGTTTCAGAAAAGGAGATGTGTTGTTTTAAAATTTAATTCGCTGGCACATTTTGTCAAACAGATCATTTTTTTATCATTGTCAGGTGCCTTTAGTTGAAGAGAGCCTGGCGTCTGAGAGTTTGTGTAGCTATTCTCTCTGCTTTACCATTTCACTTGCATGTGTTTTTTATAGTATGTCTGGTACTATACGCTTGTACTGAAATGAAATTTTAAGAAATTGTTGGAAAATTATAATAAATTAGTATTTATTGCTCTGTCGTTTATTACGGGTCTTTTTTCTCCGAATAAACTTGTATGTATCATATAGGGCTTTTGAAATATTGTTTACGGAGTAACTGGAAGAGAAAATAACGAAAGTGATTGGTTGTTCAAGTAAACAGAAATAAATAAATAGAGTGAAATCAGTTTGGTTATTCTAGTGGGCCAGTTGGAGGAGTTATATCGGTCTTTAAAATTAGTAGGACAGTAAGACAGTTTATTGTTATTTACTTTAAGAATTATACTGGTTTGGTGCTTTTAGAGGATTATTTCTTTTTGTAGGTTTTGACACGGAAGAGAAGATCAGGAACATGGAGTTGTAGAACCCGTAAGGTTTTAGTCGTGTGGATTTTGAGTTTTTGAGCCTTTAGTGAGTTTTAACTTCTTGTCATTTAAAGGTAGTTTCTTGGAAAGAGCGTTATCCTGTAAAGTCGCTTGAATTAACAGGCAGAAGATAATGTTTTGTTTGGATCCAAAATTTTTTTTGTGTTGTCCAAGTTTTCTTAACTGTTGGGGTGGTTTTTGTGCAGGGCTAGCTTAGTGATTTTTGAAAGGAGCGACAAGGTCTTTGAGAAATTAGAAGCAATGAATGAGGTGTGGAAAGTGAGCAGTAATAAGAATAATCTTCCAAAGAATTGATGGGCCAAAAAAACTTTAGGAAAAGTTTGCCAGGCTGAGTGTTGTAGCTCTTAATAGTCTTGTTTATGGCTAGGTATACTGCTTTCAATTGGTTGTTTTTTATTTACTAAGGAAATAGCTTGTACATTTAGCTACAGCTAAGTATTTTATACATCTATGACTTATAGTGCTATTAATTTGACTATTGACCGTAATAAAGATTGGTACTAGTTTTGCAGTAGTTACTTCTGTTATTGATGTTCAGATTAGAGCAAGAGTTTCATTTTTTGGCAACTCCTGCTGCAAAAAATTTTACTTCAGATGCAAGAAAACTGTGCCGTGTAAGATTGGATTGATGGCGAAAAATGATTGTGGTACTAATTTTTATTTTTATTGTATTCTGTTCAGTATTCTGTTTAATCGTATTCTGTAATTTTTTATTTTTTGTTGTACGACTATGTTTTGCTAAATATTTGATAACTAAAATGGTTCTTTACACTTTTTTGTAATATTTTTACAGTTTTTTTATGTTTAAAAGAGTAAAAAAAAAGAAATCAAGAAGCTAGTTATACATTTGCCAGATGTCTTATAAAAAGTACGATAAGTGTCATGATATCAGGATTAGAGTTTGGAGAGGTCAAAAATGCTTTGCTGGAACAGTAATTGTAGGCTGAAGCAATTTGCAACAAAGAAAAATACATTATTAGTAATTTGATTATCATACAAATTTGTTCTTAGTCTTAATTTTTCGTATCTGATACGCTGCTGCAACTGAGTGGAGTATCACTTTTATATACAGACAAATTAGTGGTAATGGTTTTTCATTGATATATAGTTTACAGAACTGTTAAACAAGTACAAATTTATTGATTGTTTGAATAAATTTCTTTTTTTTTTTTTCATCTAAACCTATTATTAGTTCAATGTCAATGATCAGTTATTTTAATGTTGAAACCATTTTTTTTTCTTTTGCAAAATGAAAGAAGATAGAAAACTTTTTTTCACTTAATTAAATAACCGATGAAAGTTTTAGATCAAAAAAAAAAAAAAGAAAACCATTGTTGTATCTGAAATACATGGGGGTGGTAAAAGTTGAAGAAGTTGGCTTAATTGAAAGCCAGCTGATTGATACCAATAATTTTTGGGGGGTATTTGACAGCCGATTATACACCGTTAGATGTGG